AGACACACCCATTTTTCCTTACACACAGCACTACGTTACCTCCAATATGGCAACACAGATAATACATTGGAACGTCAGAGGACTGCTTAGAAACCTCGATGATGTTCAAGAGCTCTTTTACAAACATTCGCCGAAAGTGCTGTGTGTACAGGAAACTCATTTAAAATCTAAAAACATGAATTTTTGCGTCGGTATGTTCTCTTCCGAAAGGACAGAGATGATGCTGCGGCATCATCCGGAGGTGTAGCCATTATTGTTAATCAAAAAGTAGCATGCACACATTTACCACTTCAAACAACACTAGAGGCAGTGGCTGTTCGAGCAGTTTTTTTCAACAAGCTCGTCACCATCTGCTCTCTGTACATACCCCCACACCACCGTCTTGGAAAACGAGGATTCGAGTCCTTAATTGATCAACTACCCGAACCTTATCTGGTCCTTGGTGACCTGAATGCTCATAGCAGTCTATGGGGTGATTCTCGCTGCGACGCACGAGGTCGTCTCATTGAACAGTTCCTTTTTCCTCCGGTGCCTGTCTGTTGAATAGGAAAGAGGCGACATATTATAACCTTGCCAACAAAACCTACTCTTCCATAGATCTCAGTATCGCATCTCCTTCACTTGTACCATTACTCCAATGGAAAGTTCTAAATAATAGCTACGGAAGTGATCATTTTCCTGTCGTTTTGAGTGCACAAACATCATACGAATGTCCTCCACGAGTTCCCAAATGGCTTATACACAAAGCCGACTGAGAACACTTTCATAACAAAGCTCAGTTATTTTGGACTGACATATGTGGGCTAAGCATAGATGAAGCTGTGCAGTACTTCACAGCTCTCCTTATCAACGCAGCAGCCAAATGCATCCCACAAACATCTGGACAGCCCGGCAAGCGACACGTCCCATGGTGGAACACTGAGTGTCGTAATGCGCGAAAGGAGCAGAATAAGGCAGGGAGGTTGCTTCGGAACTCACCGACAGCCAAAAATCTTGACACCTTCAAGAAAATAAAGTCTTAAAACAGGAGAACACGTCGGCAGGCCAGAAGAGAAAGCTGGCAAAAGTTTTTGTGAGGGATCAATTCATACACAGGATGCTAAAGTCTGGAACATGGTTGGTAGGATAGCAGGAAAACAAGTACACACACTTCCACTCGTAAACACTCAGGGTGATACCTTGGAAGATCAGGCAAACTTCCTCGGTGCACACTTCGAACGGGTGTCCAGCCCGTCCCACTATACTGACACTTTCCGAAAATACAGAACAAGAATAGAAAAGCAGAAACTCGAACACAAATGCACTAAAAACGAGGCATATAACCAAGCTTTCAGTCTAGCTGAGCTCCGAACATCTCTAAACTCCTGCAGTACTTCTGCCCCAGGTTCTGACCGTGTGGTGTATGAAATGTTAAAAAACCTACCAGCCGAAACACGAAAAACCTTACTTTGTTTGTACAATGCTATCTGGTTTTCTGGCACTATCCCTACCTCCTGGAAAGAGGCGATTATTATTCCCATTTTGAAAGAGGGCAAGGACCCTTCTTTAGGTTCGAGTTATAGGCCTATTGCACTTACAAGCTGCTTCTGCAAAGTCTTCGAAAAAATGATAAACTGCCGACTTGTACATTTTCTTGAAACGAACAATTTGCTAGACCCATTTCAGTGCGGGTTTCGAGAGAGTAGATCCACCACAGACCACTAAGTTCGTATCGAGGCACAGATCAGACATGCTTTCGTCCATAAACAATATTTCCTCTCTGTGTTTCTCGATATCGAAAAGGCTTATGATACAACGTGGCACTTTGGAATTCTAAGGGACCTGTCCCACCTTGGCGTCCGCGGTAGAATGTTTTTCATAATTGAGAGTTACTTGTCCAATCGGACATTCCGTGTCCGTGTGGGCAGTGTTCTCTCCCAAACATTTGTCCAGGAAACAGGCGTGCCGCAAGGTGGTGTACTTAGTTGTACACTTTTTATTATCAAAATGAATTCCTTGCACCTGTTCATCCCCCGCAATATGTTCTATTGTACATATGTCGACGACGTTCAGCTTGGCTTCAAGTCATGCAACTTGGCAATGTGTGAGCGGCAGGTTCAGTTAGGTTTACACAAGGTCTCCAAATGGGCGGAGGAAAACGGATTCCGACTGAACCCACAAAAAAGCATGTGTGTCTTGTTCTCCCGAAAGAGAGGCATGCACTCAGAACCCGACATTGAACAGAACGGTCAACGTCTGTCTGTAAATGCGGAGCATAAATTCTTAGGCCTAATCTTAGACAACAAGTTGACCTTCGTACCGCACATCAAGTATTTAAAAACAAAATGTTTAAAAGCCAATAATGTTTTAAAAGTGTTGTCACGTACTACTTGGGGTAGTGACAGGCAATGTCTCATGAATTTGTATAGAAGCCTCATTCGCACCCGCTTAGATTATGGGGCCGTTGTCTATCAGTCTGCGACTCAAAGTGCTTTGAAGATGCTGGACCCCGTGCACCATTTGGTTATCCGCCTTTCTACTGGTGCTTTTCGCACCAGCCCCATAGGAAGCCTTTACGTTGAGTCAAATGAGTGGTTGCTTCATCTTCAAAAAACTTACATGTCCTTTGTTTATTTTCTTAAGGTGAAAGCAGACAAGAAGCACCCTTCATACTCTACTATTATTGATTTGTCGAGCTCCATTCTGTTTCAAAACAGGCCTTCGATGAGGCAGCCCTTCTCAGTTCGCCTGAAGGGTCTAGCTGAGGACACTGGAGTGTCACTAGAACACAGTTTAATGGCTCCTGTAGCATACCCACCACCGTGGCAGTGGCAGACTATAGACTGCGATGTGTCTTTTCTAGAAGTTACAAAACATGCGCCTATTGCCCATATCCGAACATACTTCCTGGAACTTCAACACAAATACACACGTCCTGAGTTCTTTACAGATGCCTCTAAGTCCAACTCCTCTGTGTCCTACGCTGCTGTTGGCCCTTCCTTTTCGGATGCTGGCCCTCTACATCCAGGCACAAGTATCTTCACAGCGGAAGCTTACGGGATACTTGTGGCAGCTAAACGCATCAAACAATTACAAATACAAAAAGCAGTAATTTATACAGACTCCCTCAGTGTGGTAACGGCTCTGCACAGTCTTAAAAAACAAAAAAACCCAGTCCTCGTCTCACTTTACTCCATTTTATGCACACTCTACACACTCAACTAACATGTTGTAGTGTGCTGGGTGCCAGGGCACTGTGAGATTCAAGGCAACGTGATGGCGGATCAGCTTGCTGCATCCGTCCACGAAATCAATGCCACTACACCCATATCGATCCCACCCCTTGATCTTAAGCCGTCTCTCAAACGAAAGCTCAGGGACTACTGGCAGAGCAAGTGGGATAGACACATACAAAACAAGCTACACGTTATCAAGCCACACCTTGGCCATTGGCCACCAGTATCAAAATCACGTCTAACAGAGGTAACACTAACAAGACTCAGGATAGGACACACATACACGACACACACACATCTTTTGGCCGGTGGCGATCCACCATTGTGTGACAAATGTGGTGAGGCATTGACAGTTCTTCACGTTTTAATCCAATGTAAACAATTAGACACTCTAAGAAGACAACACTTTCCATTACCCTACCGACAACATATACCATTACACCCCGCAATGTTTGTCGGTAGGAAACCACTTTTCACCCATAAATCATTGTTAGCTTTTTTAAGAGATGTCAATTTTTACTATGTAATATACCCAGGCATTGCGTAGCGTGACCTCTCAAGAGAGGTTGCTGCTGCAGTGATTACATTTAAAAGCACTTGCCTCGCAGCCCTTGGACACAAGGGCGCTGATGAGGCACGTGTGCTAGTGCCAAATATTTTTACATGTTTTTATTATCAAAACCTTTGTCACCCCTTTTAATATGCACGTCACGCCACTGTCATAATCTTAATACTTATGTTTTTACCTGCATTATCGCGAGGAATTTCAAGGTCCCTATACAGCCACGCAACATATCATTGTCTCATCTCTACTCATCGAAATGGCGCTCTTTGCCATCAATTGGCCCTTGCGTCACAAAGCGCCACACATCATCATCATCAAATGTTGTCATTGTTGTCATCACATTACTTTATTAAAATGCTTCAAAATGAGCACTATACAATGCTCATGCTACTCGCTATATCAAACCTAAAGAAGCATAATTAAGAATGCGTAAATATCATTTTCTGTTTTTTATTTTGACTACTTTTACAAAAGGCACAATGGCTATTTATACAATTCATTGTGCACGGAAACGGACATTTTCAGACTTTTTGACTGCCATATCACACCTGAAAGCACCGAGAATGCACAGACATGCTGACGACACTCGCTGTGCGCAGGAAGTTCTGAAGGCTAGTTGTAAACTGCAGTTGTGTTTGCTTTATTGGCGACTTTTTAAATCAAAATAAAAGATTAAGTTTGAAAGATAATGAACATTTGTTCGCAGTTATATGGAAAAAAATCGCCTGCGATTTTCACTGCACATCGAATCAGACCGGCCGCCTGTGTGACGTCAGGCTTTCAGGCGTCGTTTTGCAAGAAGTGGGCACTTGAAAATGCGTTTGAAAGCACTTGAAATGGGCTATGAAAGCACTTGAAATGGGCTATGATTAACAGCTTTAAATCATGGTAAATTACACGGTTTATGCAGAGAGCTTAAATCAGTCTGTAAACGACCCTTAAGACTTGCTCTACCAGCCCAATGTGTTTGTACGAAATTGCTAAAACTGTGTCAGTGTCCTTTCAACGTGGTAATATATTTCGGCAACAAGTAATGTTGTGGCATTTTCACAGAATTGCTTAGCTTTGCCCATAATTTATTTGAAGTACAGTAGATTGACAGGTGTCATGCCACACACATAGCGTTTATTTACTTTGAGCTTTTGCTCAAGATATTAAAAGCTGTGTTTTAGTATTGATGCAAGTTTTGTGCAGTGTTTTATTTGTCTTTTTTTTGCCAGGGTGTTCTTGGTTGACTATGGCAAGACACTCCTCGTGGATCGACGAGAGTATGTAAAGCTTGCTTTTACTTTTTATCTAAAGTACAAGTTTTCCCGCTCACTTTAATCCAAGTGCCAGCCTAAATAATCTGCACGCCATTGAAATAATCTGAACGCCGAGCTATTTAATTCATGTGCCAAACATTTAATCCAAGCACCAACATATTTAATCCAAGCCCCAACTCACTCAGGCCGCGTGCCATTGAGTTTAATCCAAGTGCCACCGTGTTTAATCCAATTGCCAATGACTTTAATTCAGGTGCCAGTCAGTTTAATCCACGCACAAAAACCAGAATACGGGGCGTAAAAACAGCAGTGCAATTGAAATGCAGTTCCTACAGTATAAAAGACAATAGTCGGAAGGTAGAATCAATCATTATTATTTGTATTCGCCTATAGTATTCTTGAAAAAAGTTACTGCCGTGGTTCGCTTAAGTCATGTTTGGAGTGCTTATACTTTGCTATGCGCAAGTTTGTATAATGAGTGCTTGGCCCAGGTGAAATAAATTTAATGAAAACGAAAAAAAAAACGCAGGAACATATTACTGAATATTTTACAGTGCAATGAAATTCAGTATCCGACACTGAAGCTCATAATTGGCTTTGGCACACACTACAACATTACATGACCAGGACAGGTCATGTAATGCCAACGACACACTATGTTTATTGGAATGCCGGAACGCATACTAAGAGATTAAAAGCATGGTCGCGGGCAGTGATGGGTCAAAGACAGCTACATAATCAAGAAATTAGGAAGCCGTCGCGTGGCACGCACTGTGAAATAGAGATAATTCCAATGTGTTTTTTTTTTTCCTGTAGTGAACATAAAACGTAAACTGATCATCCTGATGTGGCAATAGAAGTTTTATTTTACATTATTGTATGCTCTTATTTTTTTATTTAAACAAAGTTAAATGTCTCCAATGATACGAACAGTACTGATTGTTCGTTTAGCTTGTTAGTTTTGTGACTTACTTGACGAATTCGATGAAACGAACACAGAGGAAACAAAATGATAACACGCAACTGACCTTGGGCCTAGCTTTCTTTTGTTGTGTACATGTTTTTTTGCGTGGCATTATGCCTCTCATCGCACATTGGAAGCTTGCGGATTCAGTGCAATCACTAAATTATTTGTTCTGTCCCCCCTCTCTATCTCTACACACACACACACACGTACGCACACACACACACATATATGTGTGTGTGTGTGTGTGTGTACACATACATACATATACAGGAAAACAAGAGTGATTACTACTAATTATTCTAGAAATGCAACATAGGCACAGGTTAGTTTATTTATTAACAGAACTGTCTCATAGGGCTCGGAGACGGATGTTCACAAGTCATCTTCATGCAAAGCGGCAGGCACAAAAGAGAAATTGTGCCGATCAAAGGCCGCGCAGTCAACGCGCTGTATTTGTTGCATGGAGTAGCGAGTTGCATCCAGCAGCAAAGAACGCCTGTGCTCCTTCTTCGTCATGCCTTGCGGTGTCACTAAAACTAAATTACGACGTTCGCTCAGGTAGGCCTTCACGTGTGACTTGAATTTCGAGAAGGCTTCTTCTATAAGGTTAAAGAAGGGACTGTACGCTGGCAGGCGCTTAATGGAGTGCATGGAGTTAGCCAAAGCCGCCTGTTCTGCTCGAGCGTGAGCAGGTGCATTATCAAAAAAGAATACAGCTTCGGTATTTGGCTCATCACGTTCTACGCAGGCCGAAACATCACTGAGGAAGTCATTAAAAACAACCCAATGAACTTTGTCCACCACAGTCCAGTGAATAACTCCATTTGCGGACATGCATGCTATAATGTTCAAGTTCACTCCCTTTGTCGTTGTGGTCATGTGCACAGCTGGTTGTCCTTTAGCTGCCCTGCCGAAGTTCCTGGAACGCCAGATATTGAAGTTTGTCTCATCCAAATAGAAGCGGCAAACATCAGACTGCAGCCATTGGGCGTACAGCATGCGGCTGTGCTTGATATCGTCACGGTTGCGATCTGTGGGCCTTTGCGTCACTAGCTTCATCGAGTAGCAGTGGGCATCCAGCAAGTGGTCGACTGTGCTTGCACTGATTGTTACTCCTGGCATTTCTTTCTCCAGGGCCTCCTTTATTTGCTTCAATGTAAATATACAGTTTTCGTTGACAATTCGTCTCAAAGTACTCACGACCTCATCTCCAAACTTCCTTTTTGAACCCCCACCATGCTTTGATGTTTTTCTGTCGGTAGCGGCAATCGATCTTGCTGTTTTAATGTTGATGGCTAGAGCGTCGGCCAGTTGCTTTAAGCCACCGCCACGCCTGTAAACGTTCACAATCCTAGCCCTGTCGACCACCGATACTCTGCTGTTTTTTTCGACGAAGTTCGTCGGGGTTCTTAAAGTGTGGTCCTCGTTTGCGTCCAGCCATGACTTCAAGCAAAGCTCTCTCTTCGTCTGCAAATGTTCCCGTATGAAAACACACGTTTCAAGTAAACACGCTTTAGCTACACTAAGCGTCGTCTGTTACATGGAAACCGGAGTATCTACTTTGATGCTTTTATAACAACTTATTTCCACATGAACCCGAATAAATGCAAGTTTGGTATTTTTAAGTGGTTATTTCTGATTTCAAGAACGAATGGATATCATCTGTCGGTCACTGTTCTCCCTGGACTGAGCAGACGACTGCGGTAGCCTCAGCGCATAAGTCGCCAAATGCCGTCTGCTCAACAGACGACACGAATCTATTCATATGCGATGGTGTAGATGGTTAACCGGAATGAAGCAGTAGCAATGCAATAAAGATTAACATGGACTCTATACATTTAAATACATTTAAGTACCCATACATGCAATTACTACTGACTTTTTTTATTTTGAAGCTATGACACCAAAATGTTAAGGGGAAGTCGCACTGCGCACTTCATTTCATAAGCGCTACCATGTATAGCCGAGGGAAAAGTTCTTGCTGTGACGCCATGTTTACGTTATTCTGACATTTATACTATATATAGTGGCTAACTGTGTGTTTCTAGCGCATGGATTAAACTGACTGGCACCTGAATTGGGGTGGTTGGCAGTCGGATTGAGTACGGTGGCACTTGGATTGAGCTCAATGGCACGCGGCCTGAGTGAGTTGGCGCTTGGATTGGATATGTTGGCGCTTGGATTCAATGTTTGGCAGATGGATTGAGTGGCTCGGCGCTCAGATTATTTGGATGGCGTGCAGATTGTTTGGGCTGGCACTTGGATTAAAGTGAGCGGGAAAATCTGTAGTCTTGCTTTTGAACTATTATAGCTATGCTGATTTTGATTTGGTGGTGATTACTTTGCTGTGCAACTTCCTGCCTGAAGTTGTTTTCTGCATTACATGCTAATGCTTTTAAACTTTTGAGTGTTAAATTTTTGTTCTTGATGTGGCCCTATTGGGACAAGCTTTAATTGGATTTTAAAAATATTGGAAATCACCTTATTCAAAAGGAATGTAGCAGTTGTATTTATGTTATTAGAAAGGGACGAAAGTACTCTCTGTAGGTTAAAATTAAACCGTGCTGCAATGAACGATGCTTCGAAAAAGTAAATAAACTTTTCCGTAAGCTAGCCATAGAAATCAATCCATCAAAATTTTCATTGAAACACATTGGCAGCCTAAATAAGAAGTGTCCATAATGTATGCACAGTGTGTTCATGTCTTGCATGCTAGACTGTGGCAGTCGCTGATCTGGAAGAAACGCTGAAGAACAAAAGGATTTTTCTTGTAATATAGTAAATGCTCGCTAGTTTAAACTCGAGCGAAAATATAAAATTGTTCGAATTTGTGGGCGAGCACTAAAATGTACAAACATTGTGCCACACGGCCTCGGCAGAAGCCACCACTGAATTCGTTATCGCAAGCTAGGCACTACTACATGTCCGTGGCAGGTGATTTCTTTGATTAAATTGATGAAGCTTTTAACAGCAAACACAATTAATCAGTCAACGATACACCAGAAAAAAAGCTCTGGCATGCATTCACGTGAGTCCTGAGCCTTAGTGTTAAAATGTACGACGCTATTTATGCTCCAAAACATATTTGCTTTCATAGTAGATTTAATACTATCAAAATTAAAAGTAATCGGAATCTTTCTTACATGGTTCTCTGGACCAGAATAAGGTTAGCTCAACAACAATCAGTAATTTTCATTTGCTTGCATTTCTTTTGTTGGACCCTTGCCCACTAGCTCCAGTGCAGCACCAAGAATTTAATCTGCTGTGTTTTGGTTTGGCTTTACAACATATTGTGATCAGTTCAGGCCGACTTCTGCGTGGAGAGACAAAAACCAGGAGCTCCCAGGGTCAATTAAACATCATAGATACCGACCTGTCCGAATTCTCGCGATTTTCCTCTCTACAGAAATACACAGGGTTGTAGTGGGACCAGGGCTTTAATTCGAATTAACTGTAAGTTTGAATTAACAAGCTCTTACTGTATCAACTAATTTCTCTTTCACATTACCAAAAATGCCACTCTTTCTGCAAAAAGACATTTGATAAGCTAGAAAATGCACTGAATGAAAATGTCGATGGTGACACCACCTTGAAATTTCCGCACCATTCATCATAATGACACATATTTTGATGGCACTCACTAGAGTCTAAGTAGTTCCTAATCTGTACGAATGACGTTCATTGTCTTTTGAGAGGGCCATAAACTTATTCTACCAAGTTTGCCCCGCCGCGGTGGTCTAGTGGCTAAGGTACTCGGCTGCTGACCCGCAGGGCGCGGGTTCGAATCCCGGCTGCGGCGGCTGCATTTCCGATGGAGGCGGAAATGTTGTAGGCCCGTGTGCTCAGATTTGGGTGCACGTTAAAGAACCCCAGGTGGTCTAAATTTCCGGAGTCCTCCACTACGGCGTCTCTCATAATCATATAGTGGTTTTGGGACGTTAAACCCCACATATCAATCAATCAATCAATTATATACCAAGTTTGAAGAAACTCTTGATCCTATAGTGCCAAGGTACGATTAATACCCTTTGAAATC